TATCAGAAAGGGAGACAGAACATAAAGACTTCTAACTCTGGGAAATGAACTAGGGGTGGTGGAGGGGGAGGAGGGCGGGGGGTGGGGGTGAATGGGTGACGGGCACTGAGGGGGACACTCGACGGGATGAGCACTGGGTGTTATTCTGTATGTTGGTAAATTGAACACCAATAAAAATTAATTTATTAAAAAAATAAGTCAAACAAGGAAGATATAAGATACAGGGGTTCTACTGTATCCTGAATACCACTAATATGCTATGACGATATAAAAGCTTCGACCACCTGTTAAAAGTGACTAACTAGGGCAGCCCGGGTGGCTCAGTGGTTTAGCGCTGGCCTTCAGCCCAGGGCGTGATCCTTGGAGACCCGGGATCGAGTCCCACATCGGGCTCCTGCATGGAGCCTGTTTCTTTCTCCCTCTGCCTATGTCTCTCATGAATAAATAAATAAAATCTTTTTTAAAAAACGTGACTAACTAGGGTCGAACAGATCTGTGTATAGAAGCATGTAATTCAACACACTTAGCTACGCGGTCATAAATGAAGAAATTAATGGAAAATTAATGGAAAACATTGCAAATGTCTTTTGTGCAAAGGACTGCGCCTGAGAGAGAAGTGAACAAGGACTCATTAGGCCATGTGACTAGCAAGAGAGCCAATGGGCTTTCACTTAGGAAGTGAAAAAGGGGAGGGGAATGCTTCCTGGAAATAAGGAAGGCGCACTCAGTTCTTGTTACTCAATTCACTCTTGAGACGACTTCAGGAGAAGGCCAGTGACACAAAGGCTATGAAGGTCATGGGACTTCTCATGAAAGTGAAGAGGTACCTTACATTCCAGTGGGTCTTGGTATCACATGCAGTTTAAATGATTCCAACAACCCAGCAACATTCGCCCAGAGTGAAGAAAGAGGCGGCTAAAAGGTAGTGTGGGGGAGAAAGAAACAAATTTTGCCAGAAGAGTTGGGAAAACCTACCAAAACCTGGGGTTATTCCTTCACCACTCTAGTGATATGTCTGCATCAGTGACTCTGAAAGATTTATGGGGGATGGTTTCATAGGAATGCTCAAGGAGATCCCAAGATTCCCAATGACGAGGATTGCTTACCAAATAAACCAGAAATAGTACCGGCCAGTCAGTGCAAATGACTGGATGGTGAAATTGTAGGTATTTATTACCAAATGCCCAGAATGTCTACACTACGGTACTCAGGGATGTCACACACAGATGTGAACCCTATGCAAGCTTCCTATAGTTGAGCAATGCACATCCTGTGCAATGACATAGGACTATCCCCAATGGTAGATGGTAGAAAAAAGCCCATCTAGATGGCTAATCTGATTATATTAGGGAGCCAAGAACAGGCATTGGATTAACCTTATTTCTAGAAGAAAATGTGATCTGCCTAGATTGGGAAACTTAGCAGCTAAACAGCATATACAGATCTGAGTTGAGATTTTCCAACAGAATTAGCTCACAAATTCCATGCACTGCTGACCCCCAAACAGCTCTCCTAAATACAAGTGGCAAGACTAATGAAATTAGGATGCCTCCTACTCAAGTGACACCAAGTGCAATCATCTGGGGTATTGGTAGTTGTCTGCATGATTGTTGCAGAAAAAATATTCAGAGACTTGTATAATTATGGTAGAGGAAACACTAGTCTAAGCTGGAGAAAAGGACAATGTTCAAGGACAGAAAGTGAGGACTGCAGAGGAAGGGGCAATCTAGAACACAGAACTCGCACTGCCATCCACTTAGGAGTAGAGGGAACTGGGAGACAGGAGAGGGGAGAGAACATACTCATGGACCTACTACTGAGGAGGACCCTGAAAATGTCCCATAATAAATGAAAGATTTTTATCCCGGACAGCAAAAAATTAATTCCTATCCCAGTGTTCATTACACCTCAAATAGGCTTCCATACTAAATTTTAATTTAAACAAGAATAACAGGGCAGCCCGGGTGGCTCAGCAGTTTAGCGCTGCCTTTGGCCTAGGGTGTGATCCTGGAGACCTGGGATCGAGTCCCATGTCAGGCTCCCTGCATGGAGCCTGCTTCTCCCTCTGCCTGTGTCTCTGCCTCTCTCTCTCTCTCTCTCTGTTTCTCATGAATAATAAATAATTTTAAAAATCTAAAAAATAAAAATAAACAAGAAGAACATGAAGCAGCGATTTCTTCTTAGATTTCTCTGAAGGGGGTAAAGGAAAAGTCTAATAACTAATAATGGTGCACCTCCCCATCCCTCATGCTACTCAGTCATGTCTAATGCCAAAACTTCTATTTACTTTGGGCACACCCTTGTCTTCACACCAGAAACATTTAATTTAGCTGGGGGTTGGGTAGACATGAGCGCAGTATCTGTAGCTTCACTTTTTAAAGGAAACTCAGACATGTATGAAAAAAATCACTAATAGTATCACTAAGCTAATGTTGCATCTCCCATGCTTAAGGACACATCTTGTCACATGCAAATTCAAATACTTTCTTCCACTGCCCCATGAAATAAGTTCATGCATCATCAGTACATTTGAAACACGTAAAACCTCACTGCGCCCAGGACACCTAAAGAATTCTTGCTGTCTGAGCTCTTTAAAAGAACTGAAGATCCTAAAGCATTTTTATTTCTTTCCAACAATTCAAAATCTCCTCTTGTACTGTCAAATACAGCAACGTTCAAAGTAAAATGGAAACTTTTTAAAATCCAGGCATAACACTGGGGGTGGGGGGGAGGAGAGCTTCCATGAACCCAACACATCTAAAGGATTCCTGAGTTTTGTGGATTTCAAAAAAAAAAAGCTGAACAGCATGAAAAGTCTTATTTGCTTCAAACAAGTCCATTTTTTCCCCCTGTCACGTAGGCTCAAAAGTGGATTCCTTTTTACCTACCATCTGGCATTGAGATGCAGCGTGCAGGCTGGTGGCAATGAGGTGGGGCTGAAAGGCTGTGAGCTCTCCTGAGTGCACCTGGAATTTGGAAAGCTAGGCTTGCTTGCTTTCTTTTCTTTCTTTCTTTTTTTTTGGGGGGGGGAGAAGCTAGAAAGACCTTCTAGCTGTAGAAAGACTTAGTAGACTGCTAGACAGGGTGGCTCTCCCCCAGCACAGTGTTCAACCTTTCCAGACATACCATGTGTCTATTCAGGTGCTGTTTGTCCATCTGCACTCCACGCAGGATGAGAGTTAAGACTTTTTCACCCCAAGGACCAATTTTCTCCTGTTGGGGGCGGTATCGCCTCTGCTGAAAACACATGTCCTAACAACAGCTACAAAACCTCAAGGTCACTTTTGACAGTTCACGGCCAGAAATTCCTAAATTGATAATGATTTAGCACCGCTTCAGTCAAAACAATTAAATCCAAGCCATTTTCGAAATGAGAGCTGAAGAAAACAATACAATCTACAAAATACATGAAACTGAGCGAAATATTGCTCAGTCAGTAACATCCCAGTTCATTCTTTTGCATGACTCTCCACTCATACGGCTCTGAGGCTTGCCCATAGAACCAGGGATTCAATTACTTGAATTTTACATGTTTCAGAAAGCAAAAGACCAAACGACTTCCAAGAAAACATTTTTCTAGGTGGTAGCAATAGGTATTTTAGAAAACCAGATAGGAACCATCTGTAGGAAGTACTGCAGTTTGCGATTTACAAAAGAAATTAAGTAAACTAATGTTTGCTGCTTTACAAACAACCTGGATAAATGGCCCACACAGTTATCCGTATCATAAAAACAAATCAGCACTTGATTAGAAAATCACTGTGCCATCTGCATATGTAATTGAGGAGACACTTACCCATCTCATAAGTGCCCACAAGGTTCACTCATGTTCTGTAACATCTCCAAAAAAAAAAAATCGCCAGCATTTTCAAATACACATGGCAAAAATCTTAGCCCAAGAACCAGAATACTCATTAACCAATGCAAGATATAGCCTGTTGACTACTAGGAGTGTTCTGAATTTTTATATTGTCTGGGAAATGGTGGGGCAAAGAAAGAAAATCCTCTGTATAAGCCAATAAGAAAACTCTGCATCACATTAAAAATTAAGCCACCTACCTTCACTGGTCCATGCTCATAACTGGAGCTGTGCACCAACTGTAGATAAGACATCATGAAAACATTCACCACGGCCCACTGTCTGTACATTTTGAGTATTTTAATGTCCACTGATTACCAAGCAGTTGACATCAGGCAGCTAGAGAAAACTGTTTCAAAAGGCATTCTCCAGAAGGAAAGTTCGAAACCCCAAGACTTCACATGGAAAAAACCCAAATAATCAGTTGTGATCAAAATCCAATGAAATGACTTCAATTAGTCAAGGAACGTTTTTGCTCAATCTTATGCGGGGAGAGAGATGAAAAAAAATTAAATGCACTCATGCTCCAAAAATAATCAGGAGGTGGACATGACTTCCACTTGACACGAAAAAGCACTCTAAATTCATTTCATGTCCAGCAAATTAAAAAAAAAAATCTCTCCACCCTCTGCCCCAGGTTCTAGTTGCTTTGTAAGGAGGTGGTGTGGCCACCAATGTTTGCAGCCACAGAAGGCTGGAACCCAATTCTGGATTCAGACTTTTTTTACAACCCTCATGGAAGGTTGCGGAAGCATGTGTCTTAAATCTGACAGAGACTTTGGCAGAAAATGCAGGGAAGTCTTGGCTGTAATCCTGTCGCGTCCCTACCAATAGCAGGGCAGTTTTGAAAACTGACTCAAACCATCAGGACTGCTGTTATTTTAATGCAGATAACCTGTAACGTGAAACCCCAGCACACAGGCATGAATGTTGCATGGAAATCGCAATGCTCAGGAAGGGACCTCAGATGTTCACACATCGACTGCCATGGACACACAGAAAACAATCAAATATGCTTACAAAACTCACCCATGCGCAAAAATAACAAAACATTCATATACACAGAAAAGGGAAACATACACAAAATGATTTTTTTTAACAGAAGCTTAATAAACTTGGGTCTAAATGAAGAACACTGATGTTTAAAGAAGCAACAATTAGGTTTATTTGCACGTACCAGGAAATATCTCATGTGCCTTGCTACAAATGCACGTTATCACATGTTATCACTTTAGTGTGGAATGCTTTGGAAACTCGATGTGCTGAATGGACGATGCCACAACTGGCAAAATTCTAAAAAGCATGAGATCTGTTCTTGTGCTCTAGTTTCCAATCTTTGATTTCCAGGTTTTGGCTCTTTCAAACCCATTTTTCGCATTTCTGAAATCAAGAATAGCCTGAGAAATCTCTTCATTGGTGTTCATCACAAATGGACCTAGGGCAGAAAGAGACATTCAGAAAGTTCTGGGTGGTGATAATATTTTCTTCTATCACAAGAAATGATATGTATTTCTGGAGTTCTTAATCTGAAACCAATCCAGGCATATCCGAGCAGTAAAAGGTTATTTACACAGCGTCCAATCCCTGAGGACTGTAACACAAGGATTGTGTATGATTAGAAAGACCATACTTCAGATAAACAAATCAGATAACAACTGCATCCCACTCATCCATTGCAAGTTGTCATCAGCAATGACAATCTCTCATTCAAAACATTCTTGGGTTTGGTTCTATTACAACTATTTTTATAGTTGTTAGGTTTTTTCTTCCTTTTTTTATTTAGGGGTAATTGACATATGACACTATGTTGTATTTTCAGGTGGAGTTTCAGGTGGACAACATTACAATTCAATATTTGTTATGTATTATGAAATGATCACCACAGTAAGTTTGGTTTAACATCTGTCACGACACACAGAGAATTGTTTTTTTTTTTCTCGTTGTAGGAACTTGTAAGATTTCCTGTAGTTGTTAGTTTGATGGCATCAGCTGATGCCAAGAACTGGACTGATGTGATGCAAAAAATTGATTAATGTCACAGTTTTGGTGTCTATCCAGTATCCAAAACTGTGCACTTACATAAGGGGTTTAAGTTATTTTGAAAATTAGTAGCAACTCATTGGCAATAAACAGGAGATAACAAAGATTTCAAGTCAAGAAACCATCACATTTTGGATTCTCTAAGGGTTGGCAAATGTTTTCCATAAAGGGCCAGATAGTATGTATTTTAGATTTTGTGGGTCAGTCTGTCTCTACTATTCAACTCTTCTGCTGAAGTGTAAAAGTAGACACAGATGATATGAAAGTGAAGAGGGATGGCTGTGTCCCAATAAAACTTTATTTACAAAAACATACAGTGGGCAGATTTGGCTCTCAGGTCACAGTGTGTTGGTGCCTTTGTCAAATTCCTGGGTTTGAATCCAAGTGTTGCTAAAAACGAGGAATTGAGGATGGGGGCAGAGTGCTGAAAGGAGAAATTGAAGGGAGAAAGAATGAGGGGCCTGACATGTTGGAACAGGCCAGAGTCCTGTGGGTTTTGGATGCAGTCTATGGGACGAGGTTTGGGCATAACGCTGCAGGTGATCAAGAGTCACTGAAGGGTTAAATAGTAACATGATCTGATTTGCGGTTTTTAAAGACTTTGGCATCAGGGTAGAGAAGGTGTCTGGCCTGGGAGGCTAAGTTGATGGTAGAACTGTTAAGGGCAGATGAGATACCCGACACAGGAGGCTGTGGGTAGAACAAGGAGTTCAGCTCTGGATACTTTGACATGAAGGTACTGGAAGCAAGGGAACGGCTGGCTTCCTGGCAGAGGTGCTCAGCATATTGTTGGAAATGTGGATCCGGGGCTCATGAGAGAAACTGCAGCTGGAGATAGAGACTTGGGCTGTAACAGGTAGGAAAGAATGACAGAGCCCTCATATGCAAAATCAATCCAAGAGGGCACCTTGGAGAAGTCAACTTTTAAAGACCACGTAGAAGAAAGGGAAATGGAACTCAGAAAATGAGAGCAGATCGTGGGCTAAGGACCAATTTCTTGCATGTCATAATATCACAACAGTTTGGACTTGTGGAGCACCTCTCTCATCCCTCAATTATTTTTCTGTAAAAATGGTACACTTCTGAGCTTCCATGTTGACCCTTTTCTATAGTATTCTGCTGTGCTTCTCAACTTATGTGCACATGAATCACCCGGGAATTTTATTAAAATGTACATTCTTATTCAGGAGGTCTAGGGTGGAGTCTGAAACTCTGCATTTCTCACTATTCTTCCAATGATGCAGATACTGCTGGTCTAAGGACCACACTTTGAGAAACTAGGGAAGCATTGGAAGCCCCCCCAAAGCTGAGCTGCGGGAGCTTATCTCCTCAAATCCTTAAGAGGAAGAAGAAAACTAAAACCAGAAAGCACAAAAGGAAGACAAAAACATGCTTTCTTGATTTACAAAAATAATAAATGTAGAGGTATTACCGAAATACATTGTATTTGTCTCAAGATGTACAACATAATGATTTGATATTTGTACACATCAGTGAAATGATCACCAAAGTGAGTCTAGTTAAACATCCATCACGATACAAAGTTACAGGATTTTTTTCTTGTGATGAGAACTTTTTTTTGGGGGGGGGGTGCAGGGAGCAGGGTGGAGGGAGAGAATCTGAAGCAGATTCCACACTTCATGCAGAGCCTGACACAGGGCTCGATCTTACAACCCTGAGATCATGACCTGAGCCGAAACCAAGAGTCAGATGCTTAACCTATAAAACCACCTAGGTGCCCCAGTCTTGTGATGAGACCTTTTAAGATCTATTCCCTTAGCAACTCTCAAATATGCACTATAGTATTATAAACCGCAGTTACCATGCTGTACGTTACATCCCCCAGAAAGTGTATGTTTTTTAACTGATCAACTATAAAGGTTATAAATAAGAAAATTATTTTATAGTTATCAACAATCTCATAAATACCCTTTCAAACTACGGTTCTCATCTTTTCTGTAGTAAAACCTTTACACTCCCCTCCCAAGTAATAAAAATGGTGTGTGTTCAATCTCTCGTTATGTAGAACCCTGGTATAGTGGAGAGCACAAAACATGGGGTCAGAAGACTAGGGTTCGAATCCCAGCTCCACTACTAATCATCGCTTCCCATCAGAGAAGCCACAGGGCAGAGTGAGGGTCAACCCAACACGGTGAGAAGCAGAAGGGTAGGGTAGTTGGAAATCAGACAGCCTGATTGTGAATCCAGATATGTGGCATTGGGACAAGCCAATGAACCTCTGTATCTCCACTTCCTTATCTGTAAAATGGGGATGAGAGGACCAAACTCATAAGGTTATCCTGAAGATTAAATGAATTAATATATGGAAAGCACTTTGGCCCATCGTAGTAAATGATAAATACTACCCAAGTATCTGTTAAATAAATAAATAAAATATATTGATTTCATTTTCCTCATTTATTGAAAGGGACATGACTACATTGACGCTAAGGACATTTCCTTTCCAGCATTCTGTGACATTCCATGCTTAATTTGTAGACACATAATTAAGGACACTCCCTGATAAGAAAAACAAGGTCCTTAGCGAGTCCATTAAATTGGTACTGGTTTCCCAACACTCAAGAGATGGTTGTGGCTGTCTTTAAACATGCACAGATAAAAAATATATATATATTTCTGGGGTTTAAAAGGTTAAATATACACACACACACACACAGAGTAAACCAAACAAAATGCTTCACCTCACATTAACTGAGATGTCAAGGGACTTACTTATCTTGTCAGGTTAACGTGAGTTTGGGTGTACAGGCTTCTGCAGTGTTCCTGAGATCCAAGCCCCTTTGAGAGGATTCCCTGACCCGGATGCAGGGTGGCCTAGAGCAGATCCACCCCTTTGGTCTGTCACCTAATTTAGTCAGACTCCTGTTTCTCATCACTGGTGCAGAGGAGATTATTAAACTCAAAAGACTTAAATCCCATACATCCTTTTCCCACCTAAATTGTAGCCTCTATTAATAAAGCTTATGACCTGTCTTCTTCCAGAAGAACAAACTAGTTCAGTGCACTTCAATCAAGATAAAAGGAAACAAGAACCACTCGCCTTTGGAATGGAAGTTGGAGTGTATGTGAAATGGAGGTCAACTACTATTGGCTAGGTGGAGTATAATTTAATGTTTTCCCTTGAAGTTATTAATAGAACAAAAAAGAATATTTTAAAAAATCATCAGTGTTCTTTAAATGTACAATCAACTGGAGTTTTTTCCTGAAATCATTATGTATACCTAGGAACTGATGCAAGGCAAGGTAATATGATGGGATTTTAAGGCATGCTGGATTTCATGATTTGATAGGTAGACACATGTTTTATAGGCATTTATCTAAATAAGTTGGCAAAAAATTTCTTTTCTTTTTTTTATTTATGATAGTCACACACACACACAGAGAGAGAGAGAGGCAGAGACACAGGCAGAGGGAGAAGCAGGCTCCATGCACCGGGAGCCCGACGTGGGACTCGATCCCTGGTCTCCAGGATCGCGCCCTGGGCCAAAGGCAGGCGCTAAACCACTGCGCCACCCAGGGATCCCCAAAAAAATTTCTTAATAAAAATAAATAGTAAGATGGATTCTAGGTGCTTTTAGATGTTCCTCATTTAATAAAACAACATTATGAGGAAGTCAAGACAAAGTGAAGTGACGGTATTTTTTCCAGAAGTTTCTGCCTCCAATTAAAGTCCTATTTCTACTATGCCACAGTTCCCTCTATTCACATTGATTTTTTAAACAAATAAAGAGTGACTCAAATATTTTAGAAACTTCCAAAGAAATGGTCTTAAAAGGTTCCTATTTTTCACTAAAAATACAATAGACTACAAACAGTATTGAAATCACTGCTGTTTTTAGTAAAGATAAAGACAATATTTGAGCAGCAGGCCATAAAACCTTTCTGTAAGTTCGAGTTCCCTATGATACAACGTAAAACACTACTTTGGTTTCCCCACAGTTCTAAGCTCAACATCCTACACGTGATGGGTACTCAAGAACTGTTTCTTTAAAAGAGAGAATGAATATAGAAATAAACGCCATGTATGTATTTTCCTCTGACGATGGAGGAATGAAACAAAATCCTTGAATTTGTAGATTAAGAGGACAAATATCCAGCTATTCTTCCCAAATAATACTATGTACGTACGCTACTTCCAAAGAAAAAGAAAATCAACCAGGAAAATTGCCATCATTTGGGGCTTACCGTGTTGGACAACCGGTTCTCTTAATGGCTCCCCAGCAATTAGCACGAAGTGGCTTCTCTCAGGATCCTAAAGTCAAGGAAGAAAACATCAAACAATAAACATGCTTATCCTTTTTTAAAGAGTTTATCTATTTATTTGAGACAGTGTATGAGCATGAGTTGGTGGGGAGGAGCAGAGGGAGAGGGAGAGAGAAGCAGACTCCCTGCTGAGCAGGGAACCTGACATGGAGCTCGATCCCAGGACCTTGGGACCATGACTTGAGCCAAAGGCAAGATGCTTAACCGACTGTGCCACCCAGGTGCCCTAAAATATGCTTATCTCTGAATGTCAAATTAGGAATAATTTGAAGCTGACATGCTGGCCAAATGGACAATGTTCCTAATTCTGAATATAAATTCCAGAAATATTTTCTGTGTAACACTCAATACAGAAACATTTATTCCTAAAGATGATTGGTCTTCTCAATCAGGACTCAAGAATAAACCCAGACCACCAAAAACATTAACCTTCTCAGATAAAGAAGAAGAATGCAAATTAAGATTTTCTTTAACTGGAAACATTTTTTGAGACAAACCATGTGACTTCCTTATTATGGGGTTTATAATCTCCCATTAACAGTTTTTAAAAGGGAAGATTATCTATACAAATCCAAAAGTAAGATTTTATTACTTTTGACATTTCTTACTATTAATGTAAAATATACTCCAGAAATGTTACACTAAGTGGGACCTTATGAAAAGTGCCAAGTGACATCTGCTCAGCTAAATTTCTCTCCAAAAGGGTCCCGTTATATTAAAGTCTCTAAAAGCTTTTCTTTAGAATTAAGATTAGATTTTTCTCCAAAACGGAAAGAAGTATTAATTACAATGTCTGGTGCTGGTGTGGATGCAGGGAAAGAACATGTTTATAGATCATTTGGGAGATTTTAGGTTGACAAAGGAATCCTTTCTGAGAATACTTTGACAATATGACTCCAAACTCCCACCATCACTGATGTCCTGTGACCCGGCAATGCCAGGGAAAGCAGCCTAAGAACCCCCACCACACTTGTGAGAAAGAGTAACCATTGTAAGCCACAAGAGTTTAGGGTGATTTATTAACCACTAATAGAGAACTGAACATTATGTAATTCTTTGGATATCTCTCTTAGGTCCATCTAATTTAGAATAAAATAATAAGTAAAGCAGTAATGATTAGGCACTTTAAAACAAAGCCTTTAAAAATTGTTTAAAACTTTACACTATTCTAATAATATAGCATATTTCTTTTTAAAAATCTTTTTCTTTTTAAAAGATTCATTATTTGAGGGAATCCCTGGATGGCGCAGCGGTTTGGCGCCTGCCTTTGGCCCAGGGCGCGATCCTGGAGACCTGGGATCGAATCCCACATCGGGCTCCCGGTGCATGGGGCCTGCTTCTCCCTCTGCCTGTGTCTCTGCCTCTCTCTCTCTCTCTGTGACTATCATAAATAAATAAAAATTTAAAAAAAAATTAAAAGATTCATTATTTGAGAAAGAGAGAAAGTGCATGCGCACACACACGCAGAAGGAGGGACAGAGGGCAAGGGAGAGAGAGAAAATCTCAAGCAGGCTCCCCGCTGAGTGCAGAACCCGACGTTGAGCTTGATCCCATGACCCTGAGATCACGACCTGAGCTGAAATCAAGAGCTAAATGCTCAACCCACTGAGCCACCCAGGTGCCTCTAATACGGCAAATTTCTAAATATGTGGTAAGATATTATATTATACATATTATATTTATGTTTCTAATACAAAGCTCATTAATTAGAAATCACTATAATGTTACTAGGATCTCAGTACATGCCTTTTAGGGTTTGATGAAAAGATCCCATACAAAGGTAGCAGGGGCCCACTTACTGCTTCATGTTTAATCCCCAACTGAAGATCATGATCTTTTTTCTAGCTGTAGAAACTGTTACGTGACCCGAACCTTCAGGCCTAAAGTATGAATCCTCACTAGGTAACACATATCTGACACGACTCTCTGTTAAATTAGCGAACTTTCTAGCTACCATTATTGGGTACCTACTACGCACTAAACCCAGGATTAGCAAACTTGTGCTTGTAAAGAGAATAAGTACCTTGGGCTTTGTGGGTCACGTAGTCTCTGCTGCAAAGGCTCAACTCTACCGTTGTGGTGTGAAAGCATCCACCGACAAACCGACAGGAATGGCTATGGCTGTGCTCCGACAAAACTTTATTTACAAAACCAGGTTTTGAATTTGGCTTATTGGACAGAACTTACTGAGCCCTGTGCTAGGCCTGGAGTAGACTCCTGACATACGTAATGTCACATATCCCCTCCAACAACCCCATGCACGCAGCATCGTTACCTCGATTTTGCAGACAAAGAAACAGAATCTTGGAGAGGCTGAGAAACGTATCCAAAATCACACAGCTAACAAGTGGCAAGGTCAAGATTCACACTTTCACAATCTCTTTTCCGTTACAATCTACGGGGACTTCCTGCTATCCGTGGACATAAGCACGACACACCCATTTAAATGCCAATTTTCTAAAATAATTTTTTTCATAGAAATCTTTCTAATGCTGGCTCTGGCTGTGCTCACACACAGAGATAATAACAGAAGAACACACAGCAGAATGGTGCCTCTGGAGCCAGTGAACTGACCTTTTAGCCAACTCTTTGCTCCCCCCACTGCCTCCTGCCTCTCTGGCTCCCCTCAGCCCTTCCTGGTGGTTCATTCCAGCTTCCAAATCCTTATCATTTGCAACGTGCTCTCTGCCAGATTACAGGAAGAACTGAGGTGTCAAGTTAAATCGGATAATGTTACAAACAAATCTGCTATCAGTAGGTTCTGCTCTCTGTGTGGCTTCCATGCCTCGTTCCTGCCTTGGGTTGACACAGAGTAAAGACTGCCATTTCTGTAGGTCAAAAAGTGGCAGTTTCAAACAGTTCAACCTAATAAGAGAGGGCACAGGCCCCGAGATCTGCATTTTCTCTGGTGCTTATGAGGATTTTCTTCTATTTACTTCAGAGTTCACGGCAGTGCTATGGGTGACTAAAGCAGCAGGAGGTGAGCTGCCAGGAAAGTGGGTTAAGATGCAGTAATTCTTCAAATCCACTACAGTCTACAACACCAGGGGCAGAGTGCCACAAGGCAGCCAGGCTGCCTCTCCACCAGCCACCTGCACGCTGACATAGTTTTCATCCCTACTTTTCAAAATTCATCTTGTCAGGAGTCTTATGTACAGTTGTCTCTTCAATCCTCTTTAGTAGAACAACACAGAACCATTAGATGGGCTTAGCAGGCACATACAAGAGTGAGAGAGTCACCCAAGGGAATGAAAGAGACCCAGGGAAGAAACCTGGCAATCTGGGCATAGAAGCTGCCAAGACTCCTAAAATATCACAAACTCTACCTAAGGAGCAGGGATTTAACACAAAAGGGACTACAAAATGCATCATATGCTCCTCCCAGTTGGAAAATGGGGCTGACTTGCAAAGGGCTCTATGTGAGTAAGCACGGAGATCTATATTTATACTGCCAGAGGGCTGATCTATTTTTGTTTAGACTAAAAATAAAATAAATCAAGTGTATAAAGGAAGAAAATTAAGAGACAAGGAACTCATGTTGCCTCCAGATTCATATTTCTAGGGGTAAACAGCAGAGGCTTCAGGTGAGTCCTGAAGATGAGCAATGGGTATAGCTAAAACTTGAAAATAAACCAAGAGAAATAACAGAGGTTAATGAAAGATGATAAACTTGTGGCAGAGTTTCTTTGCCTAAGGAAAAGAGACAGTTCTCCAGCTACACAGGAGATTTAGGCATTTACCTGTAAACTAGTAGAAGTGTAATTTAAGAAAATTACCCCATTTTTAATACTTACCTTGTTCTCCACCTGGACACTGTCACCTTCCCCCAGCACTGCTGTGTGATGAGGTTCTATTTTTTGTTGTGCATCATCAGGCCCTACAAAAAAGATGACCCATGAAATTGAATGTGCTTTATTGTAAATTTATCATGTGGCTACAAATGCGGTTAACTACATAACACCATAATGTTCATTTCAACCTCAGAAATCAGAGACTTAGGAATCTCCTTAAATCTCTTGGTTGATTATATTTGCAAGTATTAAAGTCTGAAACTGACTGGTTTCCCATGTGGAAAAAACCAGGGAGGTGAATTCTGCATCAAGTTTCCACTTACACTTTGGATGGCAGGCCTAACAGTTCAATTATTAAACATACTCTTCTGTATTACATGCTAACAAGAATGCTTCCTTGTGCAAATTATACACATCTCATAAGAGTTAAGCGTACTTAGGAAAATCAGTAAACGCCATCATTAATTCAGGTCAACAAGTATTTATTGAGCACCGATGAGTGCCTAGTACTATGAGAAAATCCAAAGTGCAAAGCAGATTCCTTTTTTTTACTTACGTAGGCTCCACACTCAACATGGGGCTCAAACTCATGACCCTGAGGAGCAAGAGTCACAAGATCTATTGACTGAGCCAGCCAGGTCCTCCACAGATTCCTCTTATACAAATAACCTAAGTCTCATTGGGAAAAGCTAAATATATTTTCATAAAAGGATCAGAGAGTAATTCCTTTGAAAAATAAGTGGGATAGCTACTGAACTATGACCAAGGGTCTGTGCTAAATGCTGTGTGTACTGGGGGAGGGGTGGTGTCTTCAGGATGGCTACATTTCTATTCCTTCTACGATGAGGCTGACAGATGAAATACAAATGAAATTGTGTCTTAATGCAACAATAAAATAATGAGCAAAGCTCAATGAGAGAACAGGGCTGTAGTGGCTAATTCAGGTCTAGGGGCCCTAAGGATTTGTTGTGGAAGAGTTGACTTGAACAGAGCTCTGCAGGATTACAGAAAACTACACCAGGTAAAGCTAGGAGGAAGGGCATTCTAGACAAGACAGCAGCCTGTGCAAAGATAAGGTGCTGGGGATGTGCAGGGCGTCTCTAGAGGAAGGGTGACCCTTCCACCACTGCTGCGACATTCCTCTGTGAAGAATGATGGAAATGTAGACTGGCTTCAGATCAAGAAAAGATTTGAAGGCCAGGCTCATATGTATAAAGTGGAGGGCCTTTGTGGAGAGGGTGGGGTGTGAAATGGTCAGCTCTATGTCTTGGAGACATAACTCTGGGACCAGAGCATAGAACAGACTGGAGGGGGCAAGAATGAAGTTAGGATGACCTATTAGGGGTTTATTCTAATAGTCTAAGTGAAAATGAATTACAGTCTGAACTGAGAGAGTGGGATGGATTTTAGAGGTGGGGTTAAGAATCAAAAGGACTTGGTAAGAGGCCGGAGAGAGGAGTCTAACAGGATCCTCACTAGGAACAGAATAATAGAGTGACCTGAAGATGACAGCAGTGGTTCTGCATGAGGGTAGGGAATGGAGAAGCCACAGTGGGGTAGAAGAGCCATAGGAGGCTGGAAACAGGAGGTGGGATTTGGGCTGGGTCGTTCAGTTGGGTAAAAAACCAAGACATGTGAATGGACAACAGAGAGAAGATTCCAAGTAGGGAGAGAAGCCCATAGAAATGTCTAAGAGTGATACACCTTCACAACGTTTTGGGATATAAATATGGGCATTGACCTGACATGTTAAAGCTAAAGCTGAATGATCAATTAGGGGGTGCTTATCCAAATGAAAACAATAACTTGAGGAATAATTATGTCAACAGAAACATAACTTGTGAGTTTTGTAAATATTGGAGTCCAGACACTATTTTTTTTTCCTAAAGAAATCCTCCCTTTTGGGGCACTTGATGGGATGAGCACTGGGTGTTATGCTATATGTTGGCAAATTGAACTCCAATAAAATGAAATTTTAAAAAAATCCTCCCTTTTGCCCCCACTTTGTGGAGATAACCTGTGTGAAGCAACAAGGTTCATTTTGATGCCCACAAGTGTGAAAAAGGATTCTAACCAAGCAGGAGTTCTTAACCTGGCGTCAGTGCAGCCCCAGGACCCATGGATAGAACTCCGAGCAATCACTGGATGGCAGATAAATTACATCTTTATTTTCACTAACACCTAGCTGAAATGTGGCCTTTCCTTCGGTCACGAATGTAGCCAATGACCACTGTGGCATTAGCTGGACCAACAACTCTGTCTCCAGTAGAAATCACAGATATTTTCATGTCATAGTAGTGCTGCAGCAATCTCAAAACACAGCTTCTGGGAATCACTACCTAGAATTTAAAGAAGAGCTGCTGCTCACTGGTGTTCTTACAAATGCCATCAAAAAAGCACATCTGTAACTACACCATCAACTTCTCCTTTAACATTTTAGTGACTTCATTGAATTAAAACCACCACCACAACACCGTTCAGATGTTGGAGACTTGGCAAAGGACAAAAAGGGTCCAGGGCACAAAAAAAGATTAAGAACCTCTGTCCCAGAAGCAGTGGTGTGCTAGTCAATGTTGGAAACTGGTTTTCAAGGAGGAGCGGGAGAACGAACCCGATGTGTGGTGCGTGCTAATTTCCACGGTGCAAGTGCTCCCACTGTGGTCATTTCCAAGCTGCCAGTGTGAGGTCAGGGAAGAGGTGCATGATCGGCTCCCCAGGGGGAGCAACAGCTGGCCCGGCACACCACTAAAAGTTCTTTCTCTATGGAAGATTTAGGTCAACAGATGCCATTGAAAGTAAGTGACGGAATGCCATGGATGGTCTACTCATGCATGGATTTGGCAATAAAACAGAGGCCAGGGAGTCTAAGAATAATCTCATTTGGAACTGGGCAATATCTTGAACTGTGATATGAAGAAGCATTTTTTAAAGATTTTTATTTATTTATTCAGGAGACACAGAAGAAGAAGACACGGAAGAGGGAGAAGCAGGCTCCCCTGGGGAGCCCGATGTGGGCCTCGATCCCAGCACCCCGGGATCGTGACCTGAGCCAAAGGCAGATGCTCAACTGCTGAGCCACCCAGGCGTCCCTGAAGAGGCACTGTATTAAATGTGCTTTACTGAGATTCCCTGCAGGTAATGGACCATGTGTTTTAGTGTCAACTCACTCCTACACGACACCCATTGACATTACCCACGAGGTCTACTCCTGGCCCCTCATTTTGTCACGTAGGACGTTCCACCATACATAAACCAAAACAACTTATACAGCCCCTTCAGTGTCTTTATGGAGTGAGCTGGCAAGAGACAACTCTCAAATAATGCTGAATTGGGCAATTCCTCTGCACCTCCTGTCAGACGGTTGCTCGACGGTGGTGTTCATGGGTCTGTGAGCAAACCTGAATTTGGAAATAAAGAGTTCCTGTTTTCCTAAGAAGGCCAATCCCAACTTTACGTGGAGGGCAACTGCTGCCCACTCGCTGTGCTGCTCTAGGAGAGGAATCACGATGCTGATTCTGAAGAGGCCATGCGAAATGCTCCAGTCTAAGGTAGCCTTTCCTTATAGACACTGAAGTCAGGTTTCCAGGTCATTCTAAGTGTACCTTTAGCTTCTGTATTGTTTTATGAAATATGTAAAACAGGATCCCCGAAAACAAACACTGCTTCTATCTGCGTATCCTTTCTATGCTATTTCACCCACCTGGTTATCTCCTGAACCTAAAATAAGTCTCAAAGAAAATATACTCTATTGTTTTTGACTACTTTCAATTATAAACAGAGCCCAAATCAGATAATACATAGTTTCCATGGAGCAGCTTTGCCAAGAATGTTAAATCTAATAGTGCAGTTAAGGAAGATGTAACCGAAAACAATTGAACTGCAAATATTTTTGTTTGCCTAAACAGTCCTGAAAGGGCAAAATACTTTCAAACATATTTTCAAGTTAGTGCTGCAGCTTCGGTGGGTGATTAATTGCTGGGCAACTTTCCCCCATAAGCCAGATTTCATTTTTCTTCTCTTTACAAGAACTGCCGTCCCAGTGACTTGCCATTCCACACATGCTGGCACTTCCACTAGAGCTTGATATCGTCAATTTTATATGTACAGTCGGGGCCCTCTTATCGATGCAATCAGGATCATTAATTCAAAAAGACAATCAACTGCCTCCAACGTTGTAAATTAAAGCGTAAATATGCATACATTTGCCAATTTTTAGAAATACAGTCAAGGTGGGTCTGCTGATTGGATTGAAGCCCTGTCTTTGGAAAGCATAACTATAACGACTATAATCCCTAAAATCCTTCTAGATTATTAGTTGCCCCCATCCTTTTTCCCGTCATCTTTCCCATACTAACTCAAAAGCTCTTCTTTAGCAATTCACTCTTACAAAGCATTTGACTTAGCTGTTCTAAAAATACCAACTCTTTTTTTAAGATTTTATTTATTTATTTGAAAGAGAGAGACAAGAGAGACAGAGCAAGCACACACAAGCAGGGGGAGGAGCGGACTCCCAGCTGAGCAGAGAGCACGATGCAGGACTTGATCCCAGGCCCCTGAGATCATGACATGAGCCGAAGGCAGATGCTTAAGCTACTGAGCCACTCGGGTGCCCCTAAAAATACCAACTCTTTTTTTACACTTACTTCATTAATTTACATATTGTTTAATTAAATCGCATAATTGCAATTATTGGTGCAACTGGCATAACAGATCCGAGAACAACCACAACTGCCTTTAAGCCCACTTCAATGTGGCAGGAGGGAGTAGCAATGGGCACGCAGACCAGGGCTGCTGATCGTCCTGGGTGTTCAAAGCCCCTCACGCAAGGAATGAGCGCACTGCTTAGTCCAGTCCATCCCGGGTAAGTGGAGGTCAACTCGGAGGGCTTCTAGTGTTTCCGCACCTTTACTGACATCCAAGAGTGGTGTCAAACTTAAAACCACCCAGAATCAGGAGCAAAGGGCTAAGCACGAACTAAGCATGAATAATTACTTACTTAAGTAAGTCTGAAACATTTCACTATCCGCATAAGCCATTTAGGTGTCATTTCAATAACCACAGACAAATATTTTTAGATTTCTAAATATATTTTCTCAGCCCAAACCGTATACCGATACTGGTCCCTGTCGGAGACTGACATCCAAGCTGATACACTGTCCCAAGCTGCAGGGATATAGGATGTCAACTCCTCTACCCTTTGATCTCTGTGTTAATGCGTTAATGTCATTTTCATCTCAGCAGCAGGGAAGGGGCTCAGTGCCAGTAGACTTGGGATCTATTGGCTTTCTGACCATGTGGTTTTTAGTTTCTTTTGATTTTTTTTAAGAATGCATTTATTTATTTATTTATTATTTATGAGAGACACACAGAGAGAGAGGCAGAGACATAGGCAGAGGGAGAAGCAGGCTTCATGCAGGGACCCTGATGTGGGACTCGATCCTGGGTCTCCAGGATCAGGCCCTGGGCTGAAGGCAGGTGCTAAACCACTGAGCCACTCGGGCTGCCCCTGATTTTTTTTTTAATCATATACTGCACTGATCTCAGCTGAGAGTGGGTCAAAGGACTTGAAGCCCCAGTAAAAGATTATTGTCAAAGATCTCACTCCGGTAATCTGTAATGTTGAAATTTCCACCTGTCCCCTTACTCAAAACTTAATAATGTCCGTCTTTTAAGAACTCCCTATATCAATTAATATTTTTGAGTCCTCCTAAATCTCCATTTTATGGAATCTCCCCAGATTACTTTCTCAACCCAAATGGCAGCCTATTCATTCCAGCTCAATGCACATTTATAACATCTATTCCAACAGAAAGGAGGTGCATGACATTTTGGGAAAGACAATTACTTGCTTATCGGTTCCTGCCATCTGTGGTTTGCTGGTGCCATCCTGGTTTTAAAAGCAAGATAAAATTGAGGCAGTAAAGTCAGAAAGCGTTTTCTGGATTCTTATATAGATTGTATATGTCAGGACATATTTAATAGCTATCTGTGCTTTGTCTTTTTTCCTCTGGTGACTTGTTTTTGCCCTTTTGTTTTTCTCATTAACATCTCCACTGGGGAGGGGGGCAGGAGGAAGGGAAGGAGATAAAATTCAAATGAGATCATTTGGCCAGTCACTCATTGGCTAAAGTGGAGTCCCAAGAGGCCAGTTACACGAGCTGGAATCTCTTCGAGGTCCAGTTCACCCCGGGCAGATGCAAGTTCTTCGCTCCAAGGCTACAGACTGTGACCCCATTTCCTGCCAGATGTTTTGCACTTGCGGCCCACGGTCATGAGAGGTGACCAGGCCAGTGAATAGAAATGACTCAGGAAACCCCCGCCTTGTCAAGAAAAACCAGGGATGTATAGGTCATTCTTACCCCTCCAATAACAAGCTTTTCACTTGCTAAATTCTTGGACTAAAGATCTGTTAAGAAACAGGGCTGTAACTACTGATTAAAACGGGTTTTGAGGGGTGCCTGGGTGGCTCAGTCAGTTGAGCATCTGCCTTCGGCTCAGGTCATGATCCTTGGGTCCTGGGTTCGAGCCCCATGGCAGGCTCCCTGCTCAGCGAGGGAGGAAGTGTCTACCCTTGCTCTCTCTCTCTCTCTCTCTCTCTCTCTCTCTCTGTCAAATAAATACATTAAACCTTTAAAAAATTTAAAGGTTTTGAATGCCGGAGCAGGGGGGCCTCAGAGGGATGGGCAAAATGAGTGAAGGGGTGGGGGAAGTCCAGGCTTCCAGTTAGAGACTGAATAAGTCACAGGGATGAAAGGCACAGCCCTGACAGTGCAGTGCGTGGCACTGTAACAGTGCTGTCTGGCGACAGATGCGAGCTCCAGGTGTGGGGTGCACAGTGTCACCTAGAGACTCGTCGAGTATGTCCACCAGACCCTAATGTAACCTTGTGCGTCAACTCTACTTCAATTAAGAAAACAGGTTCTTGAAGATTATTTGTTCTTTTGTCTCCCCTTCATCCTCCACAACGCCACTCAAACCCAAATCAAGTATGAGCTTTTGCAGAGTCCAGAAGCCAAAGAAAGGTTTGTTCATTTTTAAATGGTTGAAAAATATCAAAAGAATAGCATTTCATGGCACATGAAAAATATATGCAACTCACGTTTCAGTGGCCATAAAGTCTTTCTGTTTTGGGTTTTTTTTATTATTATTCATGAGAGATGCAGAGAGAGAGGCAGAGGGAGAAGCAGGCTCCCCACAAGGAGCCTGACGTGGGACTCGAGCCCAGGACCCCAGGGATCATGACCTGAGCCAAAGGCAGACACTCAACCGCTGAGCCACCCAGGCGTCCCCATAAAGTTTTATTAGAACAGCCACCCCAGCTGTTTATGTATCACTGTGGCTGCTTTTGTGCATAAGGGCAGGAGGGAATCGTTGCAACTAAAACTGTATGGTCCACAGAGATGAAAATATTTATCATCTGGCCCTTTATAACAAGTTTGCTGCCCCTGCCTTTTCTCATTCCACACAAACATTTCTGGTATCCTTCCCACCTTAGAATTCCAAGTGCTTTCTCTACTACTTTCCATCTGTGCAGATTATTTTGTTTCTCTTGAAATCATAAGGCAATGGCGCCACCACCATAAAAATAGTTTTCACTCTCCATTTGTATAAAGTACTTTGTGATACTCAAGACTTTCAAGAGATCAGAAAGCAAATGATGCTTCATCTCTTTCAGATGATTCATAGAGTTTAATTGTGATACCTGTGATACTACTACTAATTTTTTTCCAGCTTTTTTCAAATGCTAAAATAAATGAATTTTGCTTCTGACCTGTAACTGAAATGCTATTCAGTGAAAGAGGAACTGAGGTCACTTTTACTGCATAAAATCAAAATACATGGGTTTGTATTAGCATTATTTTCCTAAAGAGTAAATTGAGGCAGTTGAACTCTTTTTGGAGATTATAAAGAATGGTTTAAGTGGCTCTGGGTGTCACCTTCAAGTCCCAAGCAGATGTTACCAATAAGCCAGCTGTCGGGCCGTGTTACCCAGGAGGTGGCCGTGTTCAGGCCCCAGGAAGATAGTTCTTGCGGCAGAGCTAAGGCCGCAGGGGTGTGGGCAGGGCGCCTACAGCATCTGTGACAGCAGTTTTCTGTCAGGAGACACTTGTCCGACACGAGTGCCACTTCCAGGAGGACGGGGAGGGTGGGAGGAGATGCAGCAAGGACCAGCCTGACCTGCAGGCTCCACTCTGCCACCACTGGCGGCTCCTCTGTGGCGGGGCTGGCTAAAAGGCTTAGACTGGAAAAGACAAGTCAGATAGTGCGGCTGCTGTGTTGCCACTGCACAAAGATTATGGAGTATGGCACGGGAACCGGTTTGGGGAGTCCTTGGTTTGGGGCCCCAGCCGACCAAGGCATAATCCTGGCAAGTTCAATAACTTTCTTTAGACTTGACTTTCCTTATCTATAAAATGACCATTGGGGCACCTGGGTGGCTCGGTGTTGAGCATCTGCCTTCAGCTCAGGGCATGATCCCAGGGTCCTGGGATCAAGTCCCGCATCAGGCTCCCTGTGGGGAGCCTGCTTCTCCCTCTGCCTCTCTCTGTGTGTCTCTCATGAATAAATAAAATCTTTAGAAAAATGACTGTTTGTTGTGTCTCAAGTATCCCTCCTAGACTAGACAACAAGAGACACATCAATGACCCTTAAAATAAGAGAAAACCAACTTTGAGATTTCTCAGCGGCACCTGGGACTGCAAACTCACCTCCTTCCACCTCTCAAGAGAGAGAGTCCTGCTCCCTTTAGCCCACTAGAGCTCCATCCCTTCATTGGCATGGAGGTCACCAACCTCTTAAGAAGGTGTCAACCCAAGTGATCATGGTTGGACCTTACATCCGCACACAGGCCACAGGAAAATGGCAGCCATTGTGCCTGGTGTCCACATCCTCCTCCCTCACCGAACGTGCTGGAAGCTGAGAGGTGCTCGGTCCTGGGCATACCAGGATGTACTAGGATGTAGAGAGGGCTGGTGCTGACCGAAAGGTGGCTACTATTTGATTACATGAAAGGTTTCATCTTGCTTTCCCTCCCCTCACTAGTTTCAACTACAGCACAACTGAACTCAAAGCAACAGAGTCATCACTTACCAATATACACATTTCCAGATATGGTATAAATGAAGCTTGTCCATCCTGAAAAAGGACCAGCAACATTAAAAGGTTAGTGTCCATAATGCCCAAAGGAACAAAGCTATAATAATGATATGTTTAACAAAGATCTATGAAATATAAACATATCTAACAGATATGACAGATAAATTGAAGTGAAATCCTTTATTTTCTCTTAGATATATATTTTTAAAATTTAACTTATGTGAGCTGTTTATTTTTTTAAGATTTTATTTATTTATTCATTAGAGACACACACAGAGAGAGAGAGAGAGAGGCAGAGACACAGGCAGAGGGAGAAGCAGGCTCCATGTAGGGGGCCTGATGTGGGACTCGATCCCGGGGGACTCCAGGATCACACCCTGGGTCGAAGGCAGGTGCTAAACCGCTGAGCCACCCAGGCGTCCCCTATGAGCTGTTTAATACACACACTCCCACACCCACATGTGCACATGCATGGACACACATATACACGTACCCCTAAACTTAAGTGATTTGGCCCAGTATGTTTTAGAGCCACCTACGTAGGAAGTATACCAGTCACCTGGCTATACAGCTATATGCCAACAGCTGTCTTAACAAACTGTTCCCTCCCATTTTAACATCATGCTGATAACTGCAACACCCCAATCTGGCTTATCTTCAGTTCATTGTGCCTCCAGGTAGTTTTAAGTGTGAAGAAAATGCTAGAAACACGCTTTTTCTTTACTTAGTTGTATTTTAGTCTCTAGTGAACTCACTCTTCTTCATGTATCCTAAAACAGAGCATCAGTTCCAGGGATTTGGGGATACATAATCTTTGGGGTACAAGTGGGGATTGGATGGTCCGTGCTCTCCCTAGAGCTGTGTACACAATTTTTCAAGTGTGTATACTTTTCTGTGAAGAGGGTACATAGCATTCACCAGACTCCTACTGTGACATGTGGGGCCAAGAGCTCAGAACCACAGACAACCTGCCACTTGCCCTCCCAATGCCAGGCAGCACTGGGTTTCCATGGGTGTTTGTACCCACGGCCCAGAAGGAATGCTGCGGTGCCACTGGAAGACCTGAGGGCAGAAATGGCAAACTCAAAACAGAATCAAGACATCACCTGTGTGCTTTCAGTGGAAAAGGAAAGGATGCGGGATGGAATACATAGTGGAGCTCAAGGTGGAAGGGCAGGGCCCAGACTGGAGTCCCTGTTGAGAGTCGACGTGGTGACACAGTGAACAAAACAAAGGCAGGCGTGGAAGGATCACGGAGGACCAAATACACTCTAGGGATGCAGGTGCGAAGACAGGTGGGGTGAAACACCCAAGAGAGAAGGTATGACTGATATCACTCCACATCAACCGAGTCTGGTTGAGAAAATCCAAAGGATGGCGAAGCAACCCAAGACCCTTGGGCAGATACCAGAAGAGGTTCACCCTCCCACCTTCCAAGCTTTCCTCTCTGGGATTTTTACCAGACTCAGTTTAAGGCCTCTGGAAGTAATTCCACCAGCTGACAGCTCACTCACACTTGTTCTCCCTTCTCTGTCTGCCGTCAGTGAACATCACGCACTCCCGTACCTGTGCTGTGGGCGGAGACACCGGCATGAAGAAGGCCCAGCTGGGGTGGACCAGTTGTGCAATCTGGGGGAGCAGGGTCGGGATGCTGCAAGCACAGGCCAACAACCCACAGCCCAGTTCCAGTGTCTTACCCGGGGGGGGGGGCCGCTCTATGAAAGCGCTGCTCTCTCTCCTTTTGGATGGACGCTCAGCCTCCCCAGTCCTATGTAGCCCGATGTGCAATGAAACTCTGCGATGCGACAAAACCCCTTACCTCGCTGCTCCTTGAAAACATTCACCATGGGACATTGTTCACATTGATTTTTCAAAGTGCTAATGTCTTCGCCGTGTTTTTCGGATTATAAAAAAAATGCACACACATCAATTTAAAACATATTTTAAGACTTGGAAGGGTGTAATCTCTAAACTGAAAATCTTTCTGTGATCTTCCTTCTCGGCCTGACATAAATATTGCTAACAATTTGATATTTATGCTTTCAGTTTCTTTTTTGTTTTCGGTGCTATGTATCATTTGCTTAAAAGCTAGAACAAACTCAATGTTCTATTCCAAATACCTTTCCATGTCAAAACAGAGTAGTAACTCATCCTCGGGAAAGATTGCAAAGCATTCCATTGTAAGGACACGTCATAATTTACCTAACCAATCCCTTCTTCGTGCTTGAAAGGTACTAAAAAATTAATGGCTTCTGAATTTGAAAAAAACCTCAGAGCTCTCAATTGCTCAACTGGGTTTTTAACTGGGATTACTCGGATTGTTCTAATCGCATTTCTCCTCCACCCTCTTTGCTTCATTTCTACTCACCCTCCAAAAAGAAAACTAGTCCACACGCAATTTCCCTGGCTTGTTTTCTGTTTCATCTTTATACATGATCCAGAAGGATCAAACATTTGCTCAAAGGAATGGCCAAGTCCTTCTGCAAACCTGGATGTATTTTCAGCACTTTGGAGACAATCTTTGAGATGCTGGTTTGCTGTATTCTTGGGGTTGGTCTCACTAAAATAAATTCCTTTCTTGTTTCACCACTACTTCTTTCTCTGCCTTTGGATTTTGTCAGGGGCGAGTGGCCAAACCTGGTGCTCTTACACCCTTGTGCCCCAGCTAGAAACCTCATTTAATTTACAGTGAAACAAGAGCTGGATTGTGTGAAGGCTTCCTATATGTTTAAGAACCACCACTTTTTATTGCAATTATTCCTCGTCTGTGAAAAGCAGGATTACATCAGCAAAGAGCTCTCTGGTCTCCTCATCCTTTTCTCCTGCCTCCCCACTCTGCCCAATTTTAAGTCCTGCACCAGGAATTGATACCATCCCCACATTTTTACTGTTGTCAGAGGTCACAGGCCCTACAGTTTCCTTTCTTCCACAAACACGGTCTCCAAGCTACTGGCTCTGTGCAGCTGGGAAGCTCTTCCCCTCCCTTGGGCCATGACAGAGCAAGTAAGTTGGGCTGGAGGTCTCACTTCACCTCTGGCCTTGGAGGACAGTTTAATCAGCAACACATGGAAGCCGGACCTCCTTTAGTCAAACATAAAAAATGTAAAGCTATGAACTATGCCAATCATTTTCTGTGGCTTCTGCTCTCATATCCAGGGAGGTTGCCAATTCTTGCCAATGTCCCTAGTGGGAGCTTTTCTTGGCGACATTCCTTGCTTTAACCCAGCTCATTCTCCTGTTGCCTTAGCCGGAGAGTTCATTATTTCAATGAACTTTCCAGCTATTCCCTATACATGTGATGTGGGAACAAAAGCACAAGAAAAAAAATGTCCTTACTGCCTACAGCGCACTGACAAGTCCCTGAAACAGGCAGAGTGACCTTCCTCTAGGGACTCAGCTGCCTATATGTTAAAACCTTGCTAAGGGGCAAGAGGCAATCTTAGCCCGACCACCACTGGGATCCTGTAAGTCTATTTTAACATAAACATTCCTTTGGAAACTTCCCTTTTCTCTACTCTTCAAGATATATGTTGGCAATCATGCCCCACGCATATGGCCCACTGATGCACATCTGAAGGGTCTCAGGACTGAGTTTTTACTAGACAGTATTAAATGACCTTTCCCTAATAATAGCCAGCCCGCTCATGGTTCTGGAAACCTTGCTTCCAAAATTCCTGAGATACTCACACTGTCCCTGAGCCCCTCCCAACTTGAGAGTATATAATGGGCCACTCCTCATGACCCCAGCATAGCTCTTTCTGCCCACGGGTCCTGTCCCGTGCTTTAGTAAAACCACCTTTTTGCACTGAAGGGACCTCAAGAATTCTTTCTTGGCCCTCGGCTCCGAACCCCACCACTTCAAACCACATCACTCACGACACTTCCCCTACCTTCCATGCCCCTAAGTTCATCTTGGGCAGGCGGCTCCCTCACCATGGATTTCACGCCTGCAGACCTGGGATGGGAGGCAGACCCACCTCAGGCTCAGGTCACGATCCTATGGTCCTAGGGTCCTGTTGGCTCCCTGCTCTATGGGGAGTCAGCTTCTCCCTCTCCCTCTGCCTGCCACTTCCCCTGCTTATGCTCGCTCTCGCGCTCTCTCTCTCTGTAAAATAAATAGATAGGGGGAGGGAGGAAGAGAGAGAGAGAGAAAGAATCCCCTGGAAGCTTTTTGGTCTTTATAGACTAAGCCTACAGTGAGGTTTTCCCACCACTGAGATATATTAATGTGACCATTTTTAACTAAAATAATACATGTTACGGGATGCCTGGGTGGCTCAGCGGTTGGGTGCCTGCCTTCAACTCAGGTCGTGGATCCCAGGATCTGGGATTGAGTCCTGCATCGGGCTCCCTGCCGAGAGCCTGTTTTTCCTTCTGCCTATGTCTCTGCCTCTGTCTCTCTCTCTCGGTCTGTGTCTCTCATGAATAAATAAATAAATCTTTTTTAAAAATACATGTTACTATTATTTCTTAGCTTTATTTGGACACACTCTTCTCATCTTCAAATATACAGTGCTCACAATTGGTTTTTAATTGCTCAGAAAAATTCAGAAAACATTTCAAATATGTAGTTATAATCATAAAATTATACTGAGGGCTGCAAAATAGAAATCACTTTAGGCCTATGAACTTAGATTAATGGCAAGACAAGTGGGAACCCAAATATATAGAACTTTAAGGATTAAATAAAGGTTCAGAAAGCAATAGAAACCTGAAAGAAGCAGAGAATGCCCTAAGATGATCAAAGGGCATATTCTGGCACCTGTTTTAAGAGGGAAAAGATTTAAAAAAAAACTTTTATGGGGGGGGGCAGAGGGAAAGGGAGAAAGAATCTTAGACTCCACGCCCAGCACGGAGCTTGATCTCAGGACCCGGAGATCATAACCTGAGCCGAAACTGAGAGTCTGGGGCTTAACCTACTAAGCCATCCAGACACCCCCAAGAGAAAAAAGATTTTTAAGGAGGACCTGAAACTATGAAAAAAGAAAAAAAAAACCCTGTCAAAGTTGAAATGTGTTTCAATTCTTCGAATGATTTAT